CGTTCTGTCCCATCGAGTCGTGACGCGACCAATCGATGAAATGGAAATGTTCTCGATGCTCTTTGTCCATCTTATGTATGCTTGCACAAAATTATCTCCATTAAACTACTTATATGTGAATATTACGCGTATATTAAAAAGAAATATCATTATTCTTCTCTCGTAATTTGGAAGAAATGGAAATTAATAAGGGAATGCTTATAACATCCGACCATTACTGATTATTCTTTCAAGTTAAGTTAAGCGTGTTATCCATGGTTAATGGTATCATGCTTTTTATGCGTTGTAGAAACGTTAATGATATGAGGAAAAAGTTCATTAAAAACGTACACGTGGCATTAAACGTGGTAAGTTCTCACTAATAATTTTGATCATTAATGATTACATTAACATTTTCTTTGCCTAATTACTATACTAATGTGTTTATTCCTTTATCATATTTTATGATCTTTATTTTTTTTAAATAGATTTTTATAGCATAGATGATTACACATTCACTGTTAGATTTAAACGTATTGAGTATGTATTGAAAAATTTATTTTATCAAACGTGAAATTACAACGAAATTTGGATTCATCTCATTTCTAATCTATGATGTTAATATCGTAAAAGAATATATATCAAATATTATAATTTTTAAAATTTTTCTATAAACAAGTAATACTTATTTAAATTATTAAAATGATTATTCAATATTATTATTTATTTTTCAATCCAAGAAAAGAAATGCATCTCTCGTTAAATCTTTGGTGAGCGAGTTATCGAGAGTTTCAAGCATTCGACCAAAGTATTTTTGTGATGCAAACTTCTCGAAAACATCTCGCGTAAACTCGCACGCTCTAGAATGCATAATGTATCGGCGTGTCTTCACAAAAGTAGCTTATGTTCCGCGTTCAACGAAGATCATCTGACAATTTGACATCTGCCATTGTTGCAGATACAATTGCCACTGATCAGCCTACTTGCTGCACACATTGTATTGTAACTGTTAAACAACCTTACTCACCATCATATGCGATAATACTCTTGGAAAAAATTAATAATTCCATCTGGTTAGCAATTTTTAAGTTTTTTTCCAATAATTATATTATACTATATTTTATTGATGAAAATTTTTTTCAATTATTGTACTATAAATAGTACCTAAGTATATTAGAAAATTAAAATGATTCATAAAAAAATTTCCTTATATCTTGCATCAGGATATCTCATTATTCGTGATCAACAATCAAGCAAGAGGAAATTCCTTATGAAGATATAAGTGGAAAAGAAAGAATAAAAATTTTTTTTATTTAAAGGTTTGTTTTTAAATAAATCAAGTTTATGTTAAAAATTTTTTAAATACAAGTGATATTGGTTAATTTCCGATTAGATACAAATGAACTATTGATAAATGATTATTTTATGTATAAAAATAATAAAAAATATGAAATAAAATTTTATGACTCTTGTTTTATATATGCAAATTTTAATTTACACATATAAATTTTATCATTCTTGTTTTTGAGAAAATCGAGAGATCGGAATCGTATACAAAAAATCGTATAATTGATTTTCAAATTTAATTTTTAAACAAAAAAAATTTATTCTATGTTTTTTGCTTATTTTCGTATGTAGAATTATCTCTTATCGATAATTTATTTGTATCTAATCAAGAATTAACCAATTTTATTTGAACTTGAAAATTTTCCACTTGACTTGATTTAAAAATTAAAAAAAAAAAAAAAAATCACACGAAAAAGTTTTATTTTATTCGTTTCAATTTATTTTTTCATTAAGAATTATTTTTTGCTTAATTGTCATTGCTATGAATAATAAGATAATCGTGATATTCCTATATCTCTCGCGAAGTTACTAGAGTTTTTTCTGATAGTCCTCTTTAGGCCAAGAGTTCGAGTGCAGACACGCGTCCACAAGAATTAGCCGGTGTCGCCCTCAGCCATAGTGTTGCTCGTTATCTGTATCTGGAGAATATTAATTACTTATCCACTGTCCCGTTTCTCGCGTCTTTTCGCGCTCGGTCGACGAGATCGATAGACTAGGATATATTGAACACTTGCCTGCTCTCTCGACGGGTTAGGTTATCCGACCTCTGTAGGGGGACAGCTACGTTGCAGCTCATGCATAATACATACGATCCGACCTGGAGTAGATTTATATTTACCCGCACCTGGGATAATTCGTTAAATATCGACAGCCATTGCCAGCTCTTGCTTGTGAGCTTTTTTCGCAACGAAGATGATTCGACAAGACGTTTTTACGTTTGTCGGTCTAGATAGTCTTTGGTTTTTCTCTTCGTGTCTTTGTTTCAAATAAAAGATACTTCGATTCGCGTGCGTAATTGCTATATTAATTTCAATGGGGAATTCGAGACGGGATTATTTATTAATGGATAATATTTTTTAATAATGATATGTTAGATTTTTATTGTAATATTTTTATTAAAAAATTTAAAATTTTATTAAATTTTACAAATTATTTAATAGTCGTTTATATAATTTATAAATATTTTTTCTCGATAGAGTTTCTTTTCAAAATATTGATAATTGATAAAAGTGGTCTTTTCTTGTAATTTTATAATTAATTTTAAATTCTTCATTTTATAATTAATTTTAAATTCTTCATTTCTTCAATTCTTTCAATTATATGTTATATATTATAAATACATCATAATTATTAAATTTAATCAGAAAATTAATTACTTTTAATAAGTTTTAATTTTTTTAATTTAAATATTTTATATATTTAATTAAATATTTTATAGTAAATTTACAAATTATTATTCAAAAGATTATTCATATCATCGATTTTGCTTAAAATTTGGATTACTATGTCTGTATCTTTAATTTATTTCATTTTTGGAATTTTATAATAATTCTTTGTCTCATTATAGTTTTACATTTAAATTTTTATTTGATTTATGAAATAATTTTAAGAAATTTAAAAGTGTAAATATCAAATTTTATATTTTTATGATATTTTATTACTTTTTTAATTTATTATGTCAAATATTTTTTATCTAAATATTTATGAAACGAATTAATCGGTTTTAACTTTATTTCAAAGTTATTATATATAATTAGACCTTTAACATTAAATTTCCATAATATATTACCAACCTATATATATAAATTCCCTAGTATTTAAAATATTTAAATCAAATACTATTCAGATATAAATATTATTTCGGAAAAAACGCCCTCTAGGTTCTTGAAATCGATTTAAAATGTTACGTAACTAAGTTCGTGGAGTTCAAGTGATTTGAACGTGGATGCTCGATTCAATTTCATTTCACACGGCTGTCGGATGGTTTGCGAATAACTGATGGAAGCTAGTCGCTAGCAACCATCAAGCGTCTTGGCTCGTATAATATTTATTGAGTTGGATTTTCGAGTTTACCAATAGCATCCACCGTGATATGATCTCTGTAGTTGTCTTCTCTTGTAATTCAACATATTTGTCACAATATTTGATCAATCACCATCAATCAATTTTAAACATTAATAACTTACAAGTTAAAATATATGTTCCAAGATCAAAATTTTTTTCATAATGTTTTAATCGTTACAATAAAAACATTTTTTTTTTTTTTGATTTTCTTTAATTAATCATTTTTCAATGAAGTAAAGTATTATAAATATTTAAGTGATAAATATATTACATAACCTTATATATTATAACATAATATATAACAAACTTTAATTGGAAAAAATTTTTTTTATAAAAAAGATTTGGATAAATATAGATGATTTTTATGTTTTTTTAATTACTTCAATAGATATTTGATAAATATTGTTTGTATAATATGTGTTGGATAATATGTGTAGATAGAAATAATAAAACAAAACAACAAAGTGAGATTAAAAATTGAATGTTGTACAATATGTACAATGGATTAAGTAGGAATAAAGGAGCTTTAATGTAAATAATTACATATACGGATTGATAGTTCTGTAGCTGTAATATTAACTCAAGCATCTGATATATAAAAGTACTTTCATTATGTACGATATCATACTCAATAACCTAAGGATCTTAGATTCTATTCAGATTAGGTTATATTCAAATAATCTAAATGGTTAAAATAAAATTGTACTCGAAAAATCGATGCATACATGTAAAAATTGCTCAAGGAATTTTATTTTATATTTGAAACATTTTTATTTATTATTCAAATAAATGATATATGAATAATTGTTAATCTTAGTTAAATTTAATATAAACTCAAATTCATACTATAATCATTATTTCATTCTCTAATATATTTTGAGAAAAATATATATAAAACATCGGTTAAATTCTTTAATCAAGCTATTATTTTTGATCAGTGAAATATTAATAAGATGTGAAGATGTCATTTTTTAGCAATTATTTGAATTTTTGTGATTATAAGAATATAAATGTTAAAAAATTTTAATATAACATGAAATAAAGATATAAATTTTAATTTAGATATCTGAGAACAGTCATATCACTTTATATAAAAATCAATTTATTTATATGTTAATTTTAAAATATAATATTGGAATAATCTATAAACAATATATATTCAATTTAGGAATATATTTTATAAATTAATTAAAATTCATAAAATTATTAAATATAAATACCTAATTGTAAGATTGTAATTATCGTAATTTTTTCATAAATCTTTTCTATCATTTTTATTCCATTTTTATTTTTTTTCTTTTGTTTAAAATGAAATATATGTTAATAATTACAATTATTTATTTTAATAAAATATTGATATCAGTTGCAATCGAATGAAACTTTCTTTTTGATATTATGACGAAGCCTATTCGTAAATATTGATTTCAACTATTATAGTCAATTTTTATTTTTGTATTGAATTCTCCGTCAAAATAAAAATCACCAACATATCAACATAATCCAACATAAACATAAAATTAATTGATAATTAAACATTTGTTTTGCAAAATCAAAATCAACGTCGTTCAACACACGGTCGAAGTTGGAATGCTACCGCGACTGTTCTGTCTGAAAATGGTACGCATGCGCGGCATATACGGCGTCGCGCAATTGGTGTGGTGGCGTCTGACGTTGATCTCTGTGAGGGCCAATCAGCGGTTGAACCTCGTCGATGTTAGCTCGGCGTGCCGAGGCGAACTTCAGAGGCGAGGTGGACCGACTGGTATGTGCAACACGGCCAGGCCCCCTCTCCTCTCCATTTAATCTCTCTCTTTCTCTTTCTCTCTCTCTCTCTCTCTCTCTCTCTCTCTCTCTCTCTCTCCTTCTCTTTCTCTGTCTCTCTTTCGTTCCTATGCTCTCCACGCGACTTCCTCAAATCTTTATTTCAGGCTCGACCGCGAACTGGTCGAGGCGCGCGGCCCGCTTTTTTACCGTCCGATACGACGCTTCTAAATTTGAATCTTCTACAGAGCAGTGCGAATCGACGGCTCGCCGCACGTGAAAAATATTTTAAGAAAGAACACGCGTTTCTAGTCATCGTTTCTAGTCAGCCAGGATATTCTAACCTAGCTAACCTGCTTTCTGGTAAGCTGAATCCTGAAGAATTGTTTTATTGGCACTGATGTATATTAATACAAAACGACGGACTCGTAAAAGTGAATAAAATATAGAGAAAAAATATCGATATATCACGATATATCGAAGCAGAAGAAAAAAGGAAGAAGTGAAAGAAAGCGAAGAAAAGACTGGAAACAATAAAGGAAGTTCTTATTGCTGTTATTGCCGTTGTTGTCGTTGCGTTGTCGTCGACTGTTGTCGTTACGAAGCAAATACGTGATTGGCTTATTCTCGAACCAACAAAATCCGGCGTGCAAAGCAAGTGACGCGTGTTGATGGAATCGTTAAAAACGAGTGCAAGTTGATTCGTGCCAAAAACTATGTGTTATTTCTATGATATCACTTCGAAGAGAAGTTTTGTTTTGATCTTAAAGTTGTACTTTTCGCAAGGGTGTTAGTGGGAGATATCGATTGCGGGACCATTGACGTCCGTTCTGGAGAACGAGCTTTTCTCTTCACACTTTTGACTAAGCTAACCTCTTGATAATTGTATTTTCTCATATATAGTTAAATACATGTATACACATATTATATATATATAAATATATATTCCTACATGTGAATGTTCCGTGTACATGACATTGAATGAACATTAGATGCTGATTAATTCTCAGAAAAAGCTTGCAAAACGTGCCTGTACTAAACTAAATTGTTATTGTGACCGAAGATTATTATTCATAATTCTCTAGTTTAATATTTCTCGAAAAAAGAAGTGGGTCTGAAAACAAATAAACCATCGCATAATATATGTCTTTCTATGATCGTAACTCGATTGAAAAGTCACTTTTACGAGTCCAAATTTTATCAAAAGACATATGATATTTTGATAAAGAATAAATGTGTGGAATTTTGAATATCGCGTGATCAAGTGTCTCAATTGCGATCCTTCAATTATATTGTGACAACATCTGTGAAGAGAGTGCGATTTCGCCATCTTTGTTTTGATATCGATTCAGTGTGCGCAAGAAGATCGATCGATTGGCGAACGACCCGTCGAGATGTTCGACTGATCGAGCTCACTTCGAGTCGGTGAGTTATCAAATATAACATTCAATTATAAAATGATTTTTTTATTGTTAAATGATTACAAATATTAATGAATTCTATTTAATTAAGATAAATGCATTACAATTATTTAAAATAACTAATATCTGTAATTGTTCAAAATATTTTCATTTTAAATATTATATATTATATAGATTTTCAATATATTAAAGTATATAAAATATACGTTATATTAAAAAATATTTGTATATTTATATTGAATATGCGTATATTAATCTAAATTAATATGTTAAAAATTAAAATTTGTATAATATAAAATATTGGAAATGGAAAATATTTCTAATAATTAAGAATATATCTTATTTTATAAATAATTACTATATATTTAAAAAATTATATAAATGTTAACAGAAAAAAAAAATAATTTCAACTCTATCGAATCTATCTATAGAAAATATAAAATTTTATTTCTTTATTTTCTTTTTATATATTTTTTTTATAAATAATGATATATTTCATGATGGATCATCGAGCGATTCAAACTTCGCGATATCGAAATAGCGGTTGCAAACGAAATACTCAAAAGAAACAAGTTAAATTTGACAAAATTCAACATGTCATATAATATTATATACTAACTATACGTGATGAGTACTGCTTTGAATAAAATTGATAAAGCTCATGTTATCGCAGCTCGTGTGAGAGCTTCTATGGAAATTGATACATCGAATTAAAATAGTCCATTTGCTTAATATTTAATGTTCAAAATATTCAATTTAAATATTGTGTTGTTATTAATATAATTATATTATTAATATATGAATATATTATATTATTATCTTATAATAAAATTAAATATGAATACTGTCATATTGACAGTGGGGAAGTGCTAAATTTCTATTGATTATCAATGTTTGACACTACTTAAAGTTCGTCTTGAGATGTATCATTCACAGAATATAAAATTTGTTAAAGGTTTAAAAATATGATATAACTCTTATGTTGTATTAATATTTAGAAAAGTTAATTTCTTTTTTTGATTACTTAATTACCTAATTCCAAATGAAATCAATAATTCCAAACTTTTTACATAATTTTACAAATTTTTTTAAACAAAAATGTAATGAGAAAATTAGATAATTACTATGATTGATATTTTAAAAAATTTTAAAGAATATAAATTATGAATTTGAATTTTTTGTGTTAATAAAATTCTATTCTGTAGTAAAGTTCAAAACATTTTTTTTATATTTATTTTGCATTATATATTTAAAAATGAATAAAATAAAATAATATATAAAATGCATGAAAAAAAGAAAAATTTTTTAAAAATTATAATTAAAAGATATAAAATGTTTAATTTAAATATCTTTAATAAATGAGACATTTCAGGATTCAAACTGATCAATTCCATCTTTTTAAAAAATTGTGTATTTTAAATATCAAAAAATTTTATAAAATAGATAAACGTAAAATTAATAAAGATAAATATAAAATAATAATAAAAAAATATACAAAAAACAAAAAAGTTAAAATTGAAGATCAGAAAAAAATATTGCATTTAAATATTCCAGATGCAATTGATTCATGAAATATCTATATATAAAACTTATGAATTGAAAATTATTTTTTATATATAGCGAAATATTATTCGATACAATAGAGAGTAGCTTCTGACGCGAGTGCAAAATACGACATGTGTACGAGAAATATGTAGTGGTCGCTGACCCTCGCTTCACATTCTACGCTCTTGTATAATAAACCAAATTCGATCGGACGACAACTCGAGCGAATTGTAACTCTTTTCTAACCTCTCCACTCTCCAGAGTGTTCTCTTTATTGTCACTAGCAAAGAAATATCGAAGCCCTTTTTTCGTTCGTGCTTTCTTTTTTCATTACATATGATAGCCAATAATCATTCGCGAAGTTTCACAATACGAGATCATTCACTGAATGAACGATTCATCTTTTATCTTCTGTTTTGAAATAAATGGAAAATTTGCGATGGAATTTATTACGATTGTAACTTTACACTTATCGTATAATCACAGTATAATAGATAATTATAAAGAAGTATATTAATATATAATTATAAAGAACTTGGAATTAAATCATTTTTTTAAAATGATCTTTATCTTTGGATTCACAAATTTATTTATTAATTTGTTTATTAATTTACTATTTGTTTTAAAAAGCTTATATAAGCTTTTCTTTTTGTATCATATTATCATAAATCAACAAAAATAGATTTCTTAGTAATTTTTTTTTATTTAATTTGTAATAATATTGTTAGTAATATATTTATGTATTTCTTTCTAATGATTCATTTATATTTTATATTAATATTCTATGTAATTTATCCTATGTATGATACCTAACCTTAAAAATAATCTTATTCAATTTTAAATTCTTTATACAAATCCAAAGAAATAAGATAAAAATTTAAAATTTCTATATTCTAAAAAAATGTAAAAATACAAAAAGCAAAATTTATTATTAAATTAATCATGATTAGTTTATAATAATTTTGTAAGAGTGAATCGCATGTTGAACTAAAAAAGGACCGATATCACTTTCGATTAAACGTGAGAGCTGACGGATTCACGAGTGTGATATAATTACAATCAGTGACGGTGCAACATAATTTCGCGATGCACAAGATATGCGCGACAAAAATAACGTTTGCCCGTGAAATTCGCGTTAATTCATATAGCTAGAGATCGCGTGTTTGCAATGAATGAAAGGGAGTTCAGTAAATATAGTTGATGGAGCTTAGAATTAGAACAACATTAAAGCCTGTTTTTTACCAATCTCGGTGTATCTGAACATTTGAAAACTTTTTCGAATCAAGGAAATATTATTGAATGTGAATAATCAATCGTTTGATTATTTTTTTTTTTTTTTTAATATAATTTTCAAATATTCGAATTTTGTGATTTCATGATTATTTAATTATTGGAATGAGAATTCGATCATAAATATTGTTCAATATTGAATAGGTAAATGAATACTCGTATAGAACAGTGTTTGAATAAAATAAAAATATCAAATTATTAATATCTATAATTTATAATAAATAATTTATTTTAAATTCAGTTCCTTTTAAATAAAAAAAATCTCATGCCCATTAAAAAAAAATAATATCGAATCGAATTTATACTATTATACAAGATAAGATAGAAATACAAGAAACTTCTTGATAATCCTTTCATGATGCACAACACATTATCTAATCATTATCTAATTCGTGTAAAGGTAATTTGATTTTTCTACACATTTGTCGTTGATAGTAATACAATTTATTATTGATTATGTTCAATATACCTAGAAATTATAATATATATTATGATAATGATTTATGAATGAAAGATAGAAAAATATTAGGAAAAGAAATAAAAATATAAGAAACAAGAAGGAAGAAATTAAGTTACTCTGTTAGTACTTTAAAGAAATATTATAAATTAAATTTATAATTAATGAAAATATATTTTAATATATCAAATAGATTAATATATATATTTGATCCTGAATTGATATCATTAGATCATAGATGATTACATATACATATATAATACTCTGAGTATAATAATACATTATATATAAATTATGATTAAATATTTTAAAATTATATAATTTAATCCTATTAATTATCTACAATTCAAAAATATCATAATAAAGATTAAAAAAAAAATATCGATTGAGAAATTCATAAAATATAAGATTAGAAATATCTTTAATATAAATGTAATCCTCAAAATATTGTGAAATTTATGTAAATTTATAATACAAAAATAAAGATCATAGATGGCAACTAATAATTTAATAATTATTAATTGGCATGTGATAATTCTGGTGGAACATAATTCAATATACTCATACACTTTGAGGAAAACTCGAGTAACAAAATCGATTATTACGTACGTTAATTATCAATAAAATGAAAAGCGATCGATGTTTATTACACATTTACTCTGTATAATAATGGCAATGACATCATAATTAATTACGTTCACCTTATTTTGCTATGATTTTGACAACGAAATTAGATTACTTTGTTGTGCCTATTTTGTTTATTCCAATATGAGATTAGAAAAATAAAATTTTTAAGGATTCAAATCCAGTTTTGAAATCTGATGTAGTAATATAGATATATTTGCATTCGATTTATCATTTTCAATTTGATTTATTATATAAATGATAATAAATTTAATATTATGAAATATTATGAATATTATGAAATAAATACTTTATTAATTATTAACACTAATTTGATTGAATTAAAAAAAAATTTATTACTGCTATCTATATTTTTACTAAAAGTAAGACAGAAAATTTTTAATTTTATTTTGAATTTCTTACCACTATTCAGCTATTCTAGTAATATCGAAATCGCTTATTAATTACAGTTTTATTTTTCAACAATCAATCAATTACTGTATTGAATTATTTAATTAAATTATTTAATTGAATTATTCAATCTTATCTTTACTTTAATTCGATTATTTCGATTTTAACAAAATAATTATTCTATTTATTTTATTTTTAAAATTCCATAACAATCAAATTTTTTTCAATTGAATTTTATTAATTATTATGATAATTCGTCGCAAATAACTAAATTTTTCATATTTCAACTTTATTTTTATTTTATTTTTTTTTCATATGTATTACTATGATGGCAGATATTACAAAAATCTTTAACTAAAAAAAAATATTTAGAACACGAATGTTCACAAGTTTTAATCATTCAAAATCATTCAAAATTCCCGAAAAATGTTTCGCATCGAAAGTGAAATTAGTTAGTTAGTGAAAGATAATGGAACTTCAATCGAGTTGAATAGGAAATCACATAAACAAGGCATGTCTGTTATTCTCCGTCGAATTTAATGTATCATTGAAGTTAGTTGACTGGTTTGTTGGACAATTAATCGATACATGAACGAGACACGTGCTTTATGCACGTTTCAGCATTAGACTTGAAATGCATGGTCCAGTTCTGTCGCACATGTTTCGAACTGCATGTGATACATAGCTATATGGTTTGTATTCTAGTTTTCTATGGGTCGGCGCGCGCTTTTTGTTTTCAAATCACTAGCTAAATCGCAATCTTTTGTTCGTTGTTCGAAAGTTGTCACCGTTTCAACTTGAATTTCCTCATGATGATCATTAGAATGTCAAAACTTAAAAGTATATTCTTTTGAATTTTTGTCTTATCTTAAATTATATCTTTTCATGTTTATAAAATGACAGTTTTCATATTAGACAATATTTTTAATTATTTAAATAGTTTAATTGATTTAAATAATTCATATGAATTAGATTTGAGATTGTTGATAATTACTTATAGATTAAGTAATGATTTATTAATATTAATTTATTTGGGAGAAATTATAAAAGATATATAAAAGATATGATAGTAAATCATAATAAGATGTGAAAATATAAAAATATTCTATAATAAACATTGAAAAGTATATTATATCAAAAAATTAGAATGTTTTTCGTTTGATAGTTTAATTGTTTGTAATATTAAAGAAATAAGAAGATTATTTTTGTTTTAGTGTTTTTAATATTCCATCCAGTGGTTCCGAAGAACTGTCTCATCTTTATAACGCTGTACAAAAATGGGTCGGAAGAAGATTCAAATTTCGCGCATCACGGACGAACGGAATCGTCAGGTATTATGATTTCCATTAAATAATAAAAAGATAAAAAGAAAAGATAGATAAATAATAGATAAATAATAAAAAGATAAAAAGAATTTAGATAAATTACAATGTAGACGAATATTTATTTAATTTTCTGCCTCAGATTTTTTTTATAATTTTCCTTGACAATTATTATTCAATACTTAAACATACTCAAACATAAAATAAATAAAAACAATCAGAATAATTATTGAATCACAGATAATTATTATATCGGTTCCATCAATTTGATTTATTGATTAAATTATCAAATAATTCAAAATGGCTGAAGCAAATAAAGATAATTGATTGATGATTCTTTAACAGGTGACCTTCAACAAAAGGAAGTTCGGGGTAATGAAAAAAGCATATGAGTTGTCGGTACTATGCGACTGTGAGATCGCTCTAATTATCTTCAGTTCGAGTAACAAGCTATATCAGTATGCAAGCACCGACATGGACAAGGTTCTTCTCAAGTACACAGAGTACAACGAACCCCACGAGTCTCTCACCAACAAGAATATCATCGAGGTGAGCCGATTTCTCCTCCATAATTTTCAAGTTTCCCAACAATATTTCCAAATCTTTATCATCTATGAAAAGTAGAATAGATGGAGAAATAGAAAAAGTGATAATTTTTTATAATACATAAATTAAAATAAGAGTCCCCATATTATGAGAATTTTTGAGTCTGATTTTCAATATTTTAAATTGTTTTGATAAAAAATTATTTTAATTATTTAATACAATATTGAAATATTAGAATACTACAATCTACATAGAATATTATAGTTAATTATTTCATTATAAAATATTGAAGAATTCATTTTTTGTTATATGTTAATGATAAAATATTAAATTATATTTCATGAAATTTTATAAAATTATAAAATAAAAGAAGAAATTCAATTCTTTTTAAAATAGAGATTACACATCTCTCAATATTTTTTCCAATGTTATAATAAAATATTCCTTTATTTTAAATAATAAAAAAAATTCTTCGGAAGTAAGATAAACGTGTTTTAAATCTGAATGAGCATCACTTTCAAAAAACTTGTTCACGTAAATAATATGTCAGAGAATGTTGAAGTGTCTTTGCATGCTCAAGGTCGATTAGGTTGTCTCAGAAAGTACTATATGTTCAAGTCATTTAGTTGATCAGAAGACTTTTTACAAGAAGATCTTAAAGCCACTCTTAGCTATTAAAAATAATTGTATATCAAATAATACATATAAATAATATAAATAAATGATTATAATAATAATTATGTTTTATTTTTAAATCTAAAAATTGTTTTATCTATGCTTATATAATAATCAAAATATTTTATTAATAAATTTTTTTTTATCTATCATATTTTTTTTTTTTTATCTGTCATAATTTATTTTAAAATAATAATACAGAAGATGTATTCTAAAAGAAAATTAGAAAAAGTAGCATTCTAAAGATATAAGTGAAAACAAATTTTTGTTTGAATATATATTTATATATAAATTGAGTTTAAAAATGAATTCTTCAATCAATAAAGTTGTTTTTTTTTATATTTAAAAAACTTTAATATTAGATTTATAAAAATAATATAATTAATACTAAATAATGCTTTTAACTAAAGTTTTTGATATGAATTTCTGACTCAAGAAAAACAAAATTAAAACTTTAGAATATAAATATAATATAAATTATAAAATAAATATTGCAACATAATTCTTTATCAATTCTGCAATTGAAAAAATTTTTTAAAAATTATCTTTTCAATAAAATTATTCAATTTTTTAAGAATCTTGAACTTTAATTTTAAACATTCTGGACGGCATTAAATCGTATAGTATCAATATTTTTTAAATAATCTCACCGATTGACGCGACAAGTCGTTAATACCAGTCTGCTCTATAACTCCACGAGTATATCAGTAAATGAGAGATTTCATAAAGAAAAATTTCATGATGTCTGATATCCTCGCATATCATCATTGGTTATTAACTTTTTCAAGTTTGTCGATTATCGAAATTATACATGAGTATGCAGTATTATCTACATGCGTGCAGTACAAGCCCTCTTCCTGTGTGTCTTCTTTTTCAATCGTTTTATACGGGGTGGTCCATTAGTAGAGCTGGACAGAGAATTATCCTTGATGTTCTTGCATGTTCTACTTGGTGCCTCTAAAAAAAATGTATTAACAAAAGACAAATGATGGAATAAGCATTATATAAAAAACTTCATTTTGAGGACATTTCTTTTGATTATTTTTGATATTATTATTATGAATATTAATAAAATAAAGTAATTTTTTTGGTAGTGTGAATATATTGATATTTTTTTTAGTATTTTTATTTTTTATTTTTTATTTTATTATTTTCTTCTATTTTTTTTTTTTTAAACTTTTTATTCAAAGTGATTTCTTTTCAAAATAATTGTAGAACGTTTATTTATAATATAATTTTTTTTGTAATATTTTGAATAATATTATGATAATATAGTAATAAATAATAATATATATATTTCCTATAATTATTAGAAAAGAAAAAACTATTTAATTAATAAAAATATAAATGATGTAAAATTATTTTATTTTTTGTGAAACACTACATACGTGGAAGAATATTTCTTAGATTTTTTTAAAAAAGTATATTCGGCGAAACAAGAAAAAATATTAGAAAAATTATATTCAACCGTGCCAGTATAAATAATTAAAGTTTGTTGCAATACTTAAATCAGTGGTGAATAAAAAAGAAAACCTAACAATTTATTCTACAAATTCATTATGCTCAAATCAATTGGAGGATTCTTTTTTATTTATAATCTCTATATAAAATCTTAATAAAAAAAAAACAAAGTTCTTAAAAAAGAAGTTCTTTGAAAAAGAAATTAATAATTATAATTCTTTCTCTCCTCCAAAATACTCAACTTTTTGAATTCTTTTGAAAAAGAGATTTTCACTAACTTAAAAAACCTTTCATTTTAATATCATTTATTGAAAATTTTTATTTCTTTTTCTATAAATTCTATTGAAAAAAAAAGAATTTTAAACAATACTAATTAATATATTGTTCATTGTCGTTCTTATACATCAATATCAAATCATTAAAAATTTCTAAGTTTAGAAAAACTATATCATTAATTCTTTTCTACACAGCAGTTCCCTAACCCAGTCCCCCAATTGTTTTGAGTATAATGGTCAGGGTCGTTCATGGATTTTCCACACAAATCCATTGTCAATCATCGGTGTCGCGTGACACGCGATATCTTCTCTCCTTTTTTTTCTTCTATATGCCCATAAACACATGTATAACCTCTCACCATACAAATAGTAAAAGTACATACACAAATAATCCATACATTAAAACATATATAAAAGAAGAGAAGAAAAAAATAATTAGAGAGACTAGTCGTATGTATATATAAAATGCGTATGTATTATGTGACGTTAGATGTTTAAATTAACGTGCATGCGAAGGTTGAGTGCCCTCGGGCGGTGTGGTCACGTGAACCTGTCTGCTGACACTTGCAGGCACTCAACAAGAAGGAACATAAGGGCGCCATGTCCCCGGAAAGTCCGGAACCTGACGCGATCGAGTACAATCTTACTCCGCGCACCGAAGCCAAATACACGAAGATTGACGAGGAGTTCCAACTAATGATGCAGAGGCACCAACATAACGGCACTCGGGTAAGTGGAGGTCGTCGTTCTGTGTTGTTCGATGGCCAACTGACGTCGAGAGGAACAGACAGGGAGAAAAAGAAAAATGTTCCTGTCAGGAGAATACCTGGGATAGCTGAAAAAATTGTGTGGATCTCCTGCCGACGGTTCACGGGTATTTAGGTATTGTCGATCTTAGGCATTTTAGGCATACAAGGTTGCTGAGAATTTTGGTTTTTGTAGAGTGGTATAGAGTATTGGGAATTGTATTTGTTGATTATTATGGATGATTGAAATTGGGTTAAGGTTATTACTGTTGTTAAGATTGCAGTAGTTAATATTAGGAATTTGCATATAGAAAAAATTCTCTGTATGGTATGTTGGTATTGATTTTATTATATATCTTATTAAAGTTTCATTATTGAAGTATCATATATTATTTTAGTATTTTAAATTTATACAAAGATGCGGAGAATTTAATGAAATAGTAAAAATTGAAAATTTTATTATATATTGGATATTATGAATAATTGAAGTTGGAATCTATGTCATATTAATATTTGAGTATTTAGGAATTTTTTTTCTTATAAATAGATAAATTGTCAAAAATTTTATTATATGTTTAAAATCATTAAAAATCATAAAAAATGTAATTGGAATTATAAAGATCTTTTATGATGAAATATTATTTTATTAGATCTTTCTATATTTATTGAAAAATTGTTAAATTTGCTTTAGAATTGTATATTTTCAGATTTTCTATAACTATATATAAAATTTTAATTGAAAAAGTTTCAAATATTTTGATCTAATATTCATATATATATATATATATATATATATAATATAATATATAAATATTATAATATTTATAAAATATAAATTTATTCAGTTTCATTTTCCAAAAATCTGATTACTGTGAAAAATAAATAAAGTAAAAAGTTTTTTTTAGTAATTCTCAAAAATTATATAATATGTAAAAATATGTTATTTTTTATTATCATTTTGAAATTTATAACAATTAGATATTTATAATCATCTGTTCTTCTTGTTATTTTACTTTGGGAATCTCTAACTCGAAGTTTTCACATGACTAGGAACAATTTGTTATTCCTGATTATATTTATTAGCTTTTAACAATTCGCTATCAAGCAATTTCATCAGTCAAATCAATGACGCAGATTCGATTTAATTCGCACTCTTTAAATTATTATCGAGTATACATACTATAAGTTTACAAAACAGTCAGCTCATTCTCCTAAATGATGTTATTGACAGATATTTAAATCAGATATCTCTGATTAGTTGTTAATCTATTTTTTGTTTCATTTACTCAATTTATTGCATATATTGCATCGAACTTCATCTAGAAAAAATTAATATGGTAATCATAATTATTTTAGCAAACAAAGAGATTGAATGTTCAGAATTTAAAATTCTCAGAATTTTTAAAAAATTATATTTATATATAAGAATATCTTATTATATAGATTATTTTTTTTCTTTCTTAATTTTTTTTTATGTGAGATTTTTTTAATTTATAATAAACATAAAAAGATTTAAAATTGTAATAAGTTTCATTTCTATAGAAATTTATTTATACAAAAGATGAAGATCGATTTGCATTTGTATTTTCTTTGTGTGTTTTATATATATTATATATATGTTTTTGTTTATTTTTAAATTTTATGTAGAAGAAGTAGGCAAGAAAATAATGAAGGATGTAATTTTAAAATAAAGATATATTTATTAATTCTTTTGTAATCTATCATTATTGAATATTGTATTGATCTTATTAGCGTTGATTTAATACAATTTCAGGCAATGGGACAATCTAATTACTCTCTACCTGTATCCGTACCAGTGAATAGTTATGGCGAATCTCTACTTGGATCTAGTCCTCAAATAGCGCATACCAGCATTTCTCCAAGACCATCGTCTTCTGAAACAGATTCAGGTATTTGGTCAATAAACTTAATACATTGATATAATTTATCAAATAAATTTAATTATTATTATATATATAGAAAAAAAGAATTAATTAAAAACAAAATTAGTTATTAAAGAAATTTAATAAATAACAATAACAGCAAATAAAAAATTCAAATATTTATATTTTATTATTAATATAGTTATGTGATCTTGTGATTACATCGTGATTTTATTGTTATGATATTTTCTTTTTAAAAAAATCAACATTAATTATATTTTTTTGTATTGTATTTAGTGTATCCACCAGGAGGAATGTTGGAGATGAGTAATGGCTATCCACCATCAGCATCACCATTAGGAGGTTCACCTAGTCCAGGTCCTTCGCCGGCATTAGGAGTTGGAGGAGGTAGTGCAAACAAAGGCAGTAATCCGTCTAGGCATTCGCCGCAACCTCCACCTCCTCCACCGCCGCCTCATCCTCACAGGACCAATCTTCGAGTAGTTATACCAACACCTCTTACACAGCCTCTCTCCGAAGATACTAGTTATGATGTTAGTATACATTGTATTTGATTTCAATTTATATTCTTAAGTAATTTAAAATCATTACATAATTAATATTTTTTTATATTGAGTATTTTTATTTTAATCTTTTTTAATTTTTTAAAATAAAACTAACTTCTATTTTTTTTTATTATTAAATCTATAATCTGAATAGAAAAAAATCGTAAAAATTGGATAAATCTTTGTTAATAATATAATTACATTATTTATGTATTTGTTAAGATTTCAATGCTCAAAATGACATAATTTGAAATGTTATTTAGAATTTATTTAATAAAATTTGTTTAATAATTTAATGATCTAATTATATATGTGTAATTTTACACCATAGATAGTAACATAAATATATAAAAATTGATAGATATATAAAAATTATGTTCAATAATATTTAATATTATTTGATCTTTTATTTTATTTTTAAATATATAGAGTGGCCATACACAATCTGCATTAAATACACCGGTAGTAGCATTGCAAACACCATCAGTTCCAGCCGGATACTCTAGTTTCGGACCTACCGATTATTCCTCGGACCTTGGAAGTTTAGCTTGGTCTCATCAGAGGTACGTTGATGACTTATCAATGTATTCGGCAGCCACCATGTCCAGTATCAGGTAAATTAAAAATTTCAATTTAAATATTATTGTGAAAAAAAACTATATATCCAGTTGATATTTATTATAAAAATTGTTCTAAATATTGTAAAATTTATAAAAATCTCATTTCTTTAAAAAAAACTGTTTAGAAAACAATACTGTTTAGAAACCATTTTATAACATAATTATTTTATAATATTATTTTATTTAATATAATTATATTAGAAACAAGTTTATAATATAAATTCTTAAGAAAAGATTGAAAAGTATTTGTAAAGTTTAATCATACTTATAACGACGCCATTTGTTCTAATGTGTACTCTATATCTGAATTGAGGATAAAAATATCAAACAACGTCCACTGGAGTTTTATAGTTTTTTTTCTTGTTTAGATAATTTATGCTGTTTTAGCAGCATATCAATAAATATATTAATGGTTTTTCATCCCATTTTCATCTTTCAAATTTTATGTTATTCGTTTGTTCGTATATTAATTGTTCATATATTAACTAAAATTCTTTTTTGGTAAAAGACATAAAAATTTGAGGCAAAAATAATGTTATTTATTAATATTTAATAAATTAATACTTAATGAAATAATCTATTAATTAATATTTATTAATATTTATTAATATTTAAATCAAATAATCATTTTGATTACTGACGAATATTGTATTACGAATATTAAATTTATATAATGTTTCAATTGTTAAAGAATATGTAAAATAATAATTTATTTTCACAATAAATTCAGGACAAGAATAAAATTTAATTTTAATGAAAATTTAATCAATATATATCTATTTTTCTATCAAAGAATTATAACAATCAATTTTCTTGCAAATCTGATATCTCCAACATTATTGCAGTGGTCTTCCTCATCTAGCCGTATCAAGTAGTACACCACCGCCTGCCACATCGCCATTACCAGTGAAAATAAAAAGCGAACCGATTAGTCCACCTCGAGATCCTCACGGTGGTAACAGTGGCTCAAATAGTAGTGGGCCGAGTAATACCAGCAATCTTCATCATACAGCCCTGAATGTTGGACCTTCGTCGAGTACCGGTGCACCACCTCCACATCATGTACCTCATCCTGGCCCACAATCGTTGAATCTTGTGTCGAACAGACCTAGCAGTAATCCACCGCCGTCTCACTCCGGAAGTATAACACCGACAAATCTTCCTTCTCCAGGTAGTGCAACGGTGGCGGACATTCGAACAAGTCATTCGAACACCGGAGGAAATGGTGGGAACAACTCAGATTATGAGAACGGACCACTTATGAAGCGTTCCAGGATCACTGAGGGCTGGGCGACTTAATATCAATCGTAACAGTTAATCGCTCGATCGTTTCATACCTCAACGTACAACGGCATATAGTGCTTTTGTGAGAAGTTCCGGAACTCGAAGTCAAAAACTCGTTATATTATTTACACACGTTCGGCCATGGTTCTTTTTTTTTTCTTGTGGTTGGGTGCGCGCGTGAAATGAAAAACGATTTTCGCAAAAATCCAACTTGGCTGGACGAAGAATACAAGTTTGTTTATATATTTTAAAGTCTACACATATACACACGCACGCACATACATACAAACACATACATGGACACGTACATACAAATATAAAGATACATTTGTTTGACGATTAAATAACGGTGCCATAATGTTGAAGCGTTACACGTATATATGTGTATATATATATATATATATATATATATATATATATATATATATATATATATATATATATTTTCATGTATATAATACGAAAATTGTTTGTATATATTTCATTAATTCATTGTCATTTTCTTCGTGATATGGCATATTGTGTCTTTGATACTTGTTGCTATGGCGAAGGTTATTCCTTTCGAAATAAAGAAAGGAAATAGCGGTACATTTAGGACGGATATTAAGACATGAAAACCGAGAGTATAGCATTTCGGAGATTAAGTGCATCGACAACCGAATTTCTAAGAGCTTGCGAATGTCTAATGATTTCACAATTTAGAGATTTATAAATAAATGTACTTCGTTACTTGTTTTTTGTGCGTTATAATGGTAGATAGATACAATCCGCGGCATAATCCGTTAATTGATGTTTTTAATTAATATCGAGAGCAATAAACATTATTTCTCTCTTAATTGAATACCTAGTCAGAGAATAATGATATTTGATTAGTATATAAATTTTAATTTTACAATTCTTTTTCTTCTTTTTTTAATGCAATATCTTTTTCCTTTACTCTGAAAAAAGTACTGTACTCTTTAAATCATAAAAAAAATCATTCAAACATATTATTAGAAAATATATTATACTCACACTCATATGTGTATTAACTCATTTATTTTAAAGAATCGTTAAATGTTGATTTGTTTTTAAATAGTGAAGTTTTTTTTCTTTTTTTTTTTTTCGTTAGCGAACTATAATTAACGGTCTATGTCCGCTAATAGAAAAAAAAAATGTTGAATGATTAATCGGCTACTGTACTCAAAATAAATACGATATTCTGTAGAAAAAATATGCTCGGAAATTAATATATTGATCATTATGAAGTGATAGAAAAGATACATACATATTGTATGTGAAATAAGCATCTAATAATGTTGAAAAGAAAGAAAAGTATATACACACGAACTTATATATGTATACATATATACATATGTTATATACATTTTCCACAAATATTTTGCACATTTGATATGAAAAGAAAAAGAAAGACATAGAAGGAAGATACTTTGCAACCCTTAATGCCTAAATCGTACACAACGAGAGCTTGCACTTCTGCAAGCATTTATCAAATAATACATGAGAATTAATAAATTTGTTTGAACAGCATTTAAATACAATAATTATTAATAATTATTGCACATACAATTTTTCTATAAGAATGGATCACAATTAAATTAAGTGTGAAATATAGAGAATGAATATCTATTAATATATCTTATAAAATGCTTCATTAGTGAAATCCATGATTAGTTGGCAATATAGGGTTGCAATTGTAAAGTACAGAAAATCTTCTTCCTAAATAAAACTGCTTTCAAGATGGTCTCAGCCTATGCTTTACTCAATCTCAGGATGTATCCTGATATGAACTGTTCTCAAGAGTCGTATTTGGTACATTACTGTAATTAATTAACGTTATTAATGGAATACACGAATGGTATATAAATAAATAGTGCCTGGCACCATATGTTGCCCTCCTGCAAGGTTGACTTGTTCACGTTGTCTGCAAAAGATGACTTGTCGACAAATTATGAGTAAAAGAAAAACATATATCTTACGGAAAGATACGATAAAAATAGACTAATAATAAAATAAAATATATTGAACAAAATGAGAAAAAAAAATGGATAAGAAAGAATAGAAAAATTATAATATCCGTGTTATTAAAATTATAGATTTTGTTTTACAACACTTTGTCGACGAATTAACAACTTGGCAAATCAATCTTGCTTCTATTATAACCGAAGATTATATTATACGTAAGTTAAAGAAGGAAAAGAAAGAAGAATCGTATGAATCTTCGATATTGATTTGTTTCTTTACTAATGTTGCAATTAGAAATATATTTGATGACTGTACGAACAATCGGTGTGTGAAACATAAGATATATAATGTATAGTCACTAATGATTAATCACAAATTTTTAAAATGATCACAAAGTGCAATCTCTTAGCCAACACACTTTTTTATCAAATAAAAAAAGTATAAAGAAATTGTTATTTTTCATAACGAAAAAAGTAAGATTTAATGTATTAAAAAAAAAGTATATATATATATATATATGTCTCCACTAGTTATTAAACATTTTCCTATTGATGCAAAATTTATTGTATTTGAACTGATATTATATATATATATATATATTATATATATTTCTCTTAAGTGTACATGCCTGAAGTAAATCCTTAAAAAATAACCTGCGATACGATTGCATCGGTTCCAGTTCTTAAATCATTATAGGTGGATCTTTCAAAATCTCTGAATAATATAATTACTTCTTAATTATATTATTAATTATTTGACATTATACGATTATTTCTCAGCGATATTTCAAACCCAGTGTTATTATGTGCTTCATTTGTTTGTATAAGACAAAGTAATTTGCACAAACTTTTCATATCTATAATTAGTAAGAATAATAATATGTAAAGTTTCATAGAGATTCGTTGAATGAGTTAGCACAATACAATATAATTATTAATCATAAATTTGAGACAATTGATAAGCTTTTTATATTTTAAAAAATGATTTTATAAAATTTTTTTTAACTTGATTAAAATAAAATAAAAGATCTTGTTTATTTTATATTTTGACATTACAAATAAAATATAAGATATTGAAGAAGTTTATGGTTTTTTAAGAATATATTAATATATTATATATATCTTAAACTTATGAAAATATATAATATGAATTCTTTGAATTTTTTACCCTTAGTGCACAAAATATAAAAATCAATTTTCAATTATAATGTATATAGATTTTATACAAAATTATGAAGCATATAATATTCTTTTATAATATATATGTAGCTAATCTATCGATTATTAGATATATTCTTAACATTAGACTATCTGAGAAATCGTTTTACCTGATCCACCGGTACTCATGGTCTCATAATAAGGCAAGAATTACGATTTGCTTACCGATCTATTTTATTGTAAAATATCCAAGTGAAAAATAAAAAAATACGTAGTGATACCTCTTAAGGTAGGGAACTTGTTAAATGGTGTACGTTAACGACACAATTGTACGTATCATTTTAATGTATATTTTTAATATGACGATAAAAAAAGTATGCATAAGTTATACTCACATATACGCAAATACGTATTTGATGTGTATGTTCTTGATTGGGGCACAACCGAGATCAATATAGAACCAATAACATTTCAAATGATAATATATATGTTTTATTCTCTTGTTAAAACATTAATTTTAACTGTTAATCAAAGATTATTCTCTTATTTATTGTTATATATTATATCTAATGTTAAATATTTGATAATCGATTATAGTAATAATAGATAAATATGAAGTGATACCACAGTTTATTCTTGAAGTTTGAATATCTTTTCTAAGTTAAATTAGTTAAATTGATTTAAGAAAAAATAATAATTTTATGTCCTTTAATATTGATCGAATGATTGTGCCTTAGCAAGAGTTGAACGAAAAATATCGTAGTGTCGGCGATTATATTATAGTTGAAAACTCGGAGACTATAATTAAAATTGTTGGAATGCTGTGAAACGAAATGGACCATCATTTAGAATGCATTAAATTATACAGGAATTTAAAAAAAAAAAGAAAAAAAGAATACAAAAAAATATAGGGAACCAGAGTTAGAGCCTTTTTTGTACGAGAGCAAAGTTGTTGGACACAGATCGTTTTTATTGGCCGCGTGTGAAACTCAATGGATGCTCGCTTCGATTTTTTTAATAATTTCTCCTTATTCTTCTTTTTCTTTGTTTTTCTCATAAAACATTCATGGAAAAAGATGAATTTTATATATAATTAACTATAATCGTTTTAAACGAGAGAACAATTTTCTATATATATATATATATATATATATATATAGAAAATTGGCTTGGCATTTAAATATTCAAAATTTTTTTCGTCGTATTTTAATGATACTGATAATTTAATATTTTTTAAATTAGAAATATATATATATATAATGCAAAGAAAAGTCTTGTAAATATGTAAAAAAAATTTAGTTAACAGATCGATTTATTAACCTTTGGTACCATTGAAAACGAATCGTTGTGAACTATCGTTGGGAATCAGTCGTTGCGAATCATTAACAAACGATTCTTTTTATTCAAAATATTACGAAATGATCTATTTATTCCGTAAAAAATTGTAAAACTGAGGCATCGTACAATTTTTTGATCAACTTATAGAAAATAAGACTTTTCTTAAATAAATATTATTTATATATCATTTAAAATGAAAGAAAAAATAAAAGATCGAATATAGATTTTCATAGTTTTTCTTGTAAAATATTACATAAAAATATAAAAAGTAGTTAATATTTTGTAATATAACCGAACTCATCTATAAAACATGATTCTTAATGATAAAATAATATTAATAAAAAAAATATTAAAAAATTTTAAAAATTCGAGATATTTATTTTATTTTTTTACAATCTCAAATTATCATAAAATATATTTTTTTTTTTCGGTCATTCTTTTTGTAGAGATCGCAAAAAATCGAATCGAGTATCCAATAAATGAATATTATAATTTGAATTAAAAATTAAAACAAAATGAAATCGACATGAGTGTATATATATATATATAAATGTATAACATGATCATTAAGATAATACATGGTACAAGTATCACTTTTTGAGAAAATGTATGGGTATGATCAATTAAAAAAGGAATAGATAACAAAAAAATAAGGTTAGAAGACATGGAAAACTGAACTAATTAACATGAAAATAAATGTACTAGCCACACATTGCAGAATAAAAGTGAATCTAATGATAACATTTAATAATATACATAAAATATATATGTATATATATATACGTATGTAAAAGTAAACTTAAAAATACTGAACATATCTGTAAAGCCACATGTAACATCACATTTTTAAAGATAAAACTCAAGAATATCGCCATTTTATTTACTATCGACCGTGTTTATTATCGAAATTTCTCGTCTAATCGATCTATCGATATTATTTTTTTTTTTGAAATTGTCTTTCTAATATATAAAAATAAAAAAATATATTAGAAAAATAGAAGGAATAAAATATATATATATTATTATTATTGTATATATATTATATATATATTATATATATTATTATATATATATATATATATATATATATATTTTATTATTATTATTATTCCTTCTATATTCCTTCTATCTTTCTAATATATTTTTTCTTTTTTATATATATATGTATAATGATCCTTGATTCAAAGGAATTCTCATTTTTATTTTTTAATCAATCGATTGATCGATTAGTTGTTTTAAGACACACGGAACGTGTGTGTATGATAATTATTAATATACTTTTTAAATATTATTACGTAGCGATATGCTATTATTTGTACGATATATATATATATACATAAAAAAAAACGGAAAAATATGAAAATCTTTATGTTGTACTATTAACAAATAAACAAACAAAAAAAAGAGCGGCCCATTTGAACATTTTGAACGCAAGGTACAATGAAGAAAAAAGTAAGAAAGAAAAAAAGAAAAGAAATATATATAAATATATAAAAGATTTTAACCATAGAAAGAATAACAAACATTGTATATGTAATTATACTGAAGTTAAAAATAATCGCGTAACGTGCTATATAGATCTTACTATTAAACAGACAAACAGAAAAAAAGCAGAAAAAATATATTATGGCGTATTATAATGTTGTGCATTTAAGTAGACAGTGATAAATCTGCGAAGACAGAAACGAAAGTAGCTTTTTTTTTATTTATTTGTTATTATCGTTCTCTCTCTCTCTCTCTCTCTCTCTCTCTCTCTCTCTCT